GTGTGTGAGTCCCTGGCTCTGCCCCGGGCAGTGTGTGATTCCCTGGATCTGCCCCAGGCAGTGTGTGATTCCCTGGATCTGCCCCAGGCAGTGTGTGATTCCCTGGCTCTGCTCCTTTCCAGGACACGGCTGGGGATGGTGCCGAGGCCCTGGATGCCCAGGGGGGCTCGGGGGACGAGGAGAACGCGCGGCAGCTGGGGGAGATCGAGCTGCAGTGTGGGATCTGCACCAAGTGGTTCACGGCGGACACCTTCGGCATCGACACCACGTACGTGAGCCCTGGCAGCAGGAAGGGAGTGTTTTAGAGTTCCCAAGGACCAAGGCCTCATCCGTATCCTTGGACACTTGGAAACCAGCATGTTGTGTAAATAACTAAGACTTTGCCCGTGATAAAAGCACCCCCACCAGATACCACTGAGCCTGTAAGGTGTTTCTGGGCTCAGGGAGAGAAAGAATAGTTGGTTTCTAATCTGGAATAATTAATGTCTTAATCTAGTGTAGTAAAGAATAATTAACTTTATTTCTTTTCTAAGAAAGACACTGAGGGGCTGGAGTGTGGCCAGGGAAGGGAACGGAGGTGGGAAGGGTCTGGAGCACCATGAGCAGCTGGGGGGGCTCAGCCTGGAGAAAAGGAGGCTCAGGGGGGACCTTCTGGCTCTGCAGCCCCCTGACAGGAGGGGGGAGCTCCCAGGGAACAAGGGACAGGATGGCAGGAAATGGCCTCAAGCTGTGCCAGGGGAGGGTCAGGTTGGACATCAGGAGGAATTTTTCCCTGGTAAGCGTGGTCAGGTATTGGAAGGGGCTGCCCAGGAAGGTAGTGGAGTCCCCATGCCTGGAGATGTCCAAGGAAGGACTGGACATGGCACTCAGTGCTCTGGGCTGGGGGACAAGGTGGGGATGGGGCACAGGGTGGACTCGATGATGTCAGAGGTCTTTTCTAATCTCAGTAATTCTGGCATTCCTTTAATCTAATGCAGTAATTACGGTGTACCCAGCCCTGACAAACCTGCTCTTTCCCAGGTCCTGTTTGCCCTTCATGACCAACTACAGCTTCCACTGCAACGTGTGCCACCACAGTGGGAACACCTACTTCCTGAGGAAACAAGCGAGTGAGTCTGGGAGAAGCACGTTGGGGGGTCTTCTGTGCAAGATAATTCTGAAGGTTTGGTTTTGTCTGGGAGGGCTCTGCTGAGACTCTTGGAAAATGACCAGAAAATTCATAGCAACAAATCTGAGGCTTTTTCTAAAAATGTTTTGCTGTTTTAATTGCTGAAGATGGTGTAAATGTGTTCAGTGGGGGCTGATCAGGATGAACTCGAAGGGGTTTGCTGTTCCTCGGGGTGATGCTGTGGGGTCGGTGATTGCTGTGAACACAGGAGGGTGTCCTGATCTTCCCCACCAAGTGTAAGTGTATCCCTGGGGTGTTTTGTTTTCCAGATCTCAAGGAAATGTGCCTTAGTGCTCTGGCCAACCTCACGTGGCAGTCGAGGACACAGGACGAGCACCCCAAGACGATGTTCTCCAAGGATAAGGTTTGGCTGTGACGGAACCGCCGCGGGTCCGCGTCAGGGGTGGTGTCAGTGAGAGGAGCTCAGAGAAATGTTCTCTGCTTTCACAGGATATTATCCCGTTCATTGACAAATACTGGGAGTGTATGACAACGCGGCAGAGGCCTGGGAAAATGACCTGGCCCAATAACATTGTCAAAACCATGGTAAGAACTGGGGGTAAATCCCTGGAGGAACTACCACGAACATTTTAGTTTTCTGATGCTGGTGTGTGCTGAGGGCTGAGCTTGGAGCTGAAGGGTGAAGATGCTGATGTACCTCCCCCATATTAATAGTACACAATGGGATTTAAACACTTGTTAATTAGTTTGTTAATCTTACCTCGTGTGACTTGAACTCTGTTTCAGTGCAAAGAAAGAGATGTGTTCCTGGTGAAAGAGCACCCAGACCCAGGCAGTAAAGACCCAGAGGAAGATTACCCCAAATTTGGGCTTCTAGACCAGGTATGTGATGAGAGAAGGGAGAGCAGGGATCTGGGAGGAGAAGTGGGGGATCCTTGTGGTGCCTTCTGCTCAGTCAAGGGGCAAAGCTCTGCCATGAGTCCGTGTTGTGCCAGCGGTGGGTGGGAGCTCCAGCACCTGGGAGTGCCCTGCTCGGGCTCAGGGTGGCACCTTTGACCAAGTCTGTTCAGCAGATTGTTTGATCTCTTGCAGGATCTTGCCAATATTGGCCCTGCCTATGACAACCAGAAACAGAGCAACGCTGTGTCCACGAGTGGAAGCTTGAATGGCAAGTTCTTTACTCGGGAGGGTTTTGGGTATTTGGGACTAAGCTGCATTTCCCAGTCCTCTGGGCATCTGTGCAGTTCAGCTGTCGTGTGAGCTGAGTTTATGCTTGTGCTCAGAACAGTCTCACTGTGCCTTTTTATAGAAGGATTAACTTTAGTTCTTGGGAAGGTTCAGCTGTTTCTTTACGGTGACCAGATAAATCGAGATGCTCGCCGGAAAACCCAGCTTGTCAGTTTGCTCTTAGAATGGTTTTAATTTACTTCCTTGTGTTTCCCTTTCTCTGAGAGTTGAAAGTAGCTGGGGAAAGGATAAATATATGCATTATTCCTTGTGCTCACTGCTTGTGCTTTACTGTTACTCCTTGAGGGTGACTCCTGTGCTGTCCCGTCCTGCCGAGGTTGCTCAGGGTGACCTTACTGCAGTGAAGTACCTGCTGATGAGGATATGTATTAATAATTTGCAGTAAACACATCCCAATAGTACAGGCAGGAGGTATTTGGGGCTTTTTAGAACAGGTTACAGATATCTCAGGTGTGTTGTCTCCATGTCATGCACGGGTTGTTTTTTATTGAATTTCCGGGAGACTGACAAACATGTGGTGCCACTTCTGTTCTTGCAGGTGGAGCCTCTCTGGGAGGTGAATATTTACCTTTCAGCTTCTAAAACTTAAGTATTGCTGTTTGCAAAGCTTTTTTGCTTGATTCTCTTAGAAGCCAAAGTCAATTAAAAATGAAAGCGTGCCCTGATGTGATTGCAGTCAGGCTTTAATACAAACCAGCAATTCCACTCTTTAATCTTTAGCAATTAGAAGCTTTTATTGCCATATTCTGCCCTACTTGACTGTTATAAATGTTTTGTGTATTTTGTTCTTATATTTATTTTTACTTTGTGTCAGTTGACCTGATGTTGTCATTTTAACTCTTAATGTCTAAATAATTCAGTCTGAAACATACAGCGTGATGGTTTGGGCAAGTAAATATTTACCAGCTGGAGATCCTGAATGTTTATCTGCACTGGATCAGGTGATGTGCAGCTGGATCAGGTCATGTTTGTGCAGAATATGGTATTCCCTGGGTGATTTGGATCCCTTACACCATAAGGGAATGCTGGTAATGGAAGAACTGACTGGATTTTTAATTACCACACGAATGCAGTTCGTGAAGGTGTTTATCTACAGTACATGAAATTTCCGTAGTTTTCCTTGTGAATCAACACTAATCTCTTTTGAAATAGTGTGATGGTAAAATGCACATATGATTTAATTCATTAAAACGTTGTGCTGATCTCAGTTTGATTAAATTTGACATGCAGCCTTTCCTGTACTACAGTCCTGTGAGTTCAAAATCAGTGCTGTAGTTCAGGCTGGTACACTGTTCAATCCCAGAACTGACTTTGGTGATACTGAAGAGAAACACCTCTTGCTTTTTGTTTTTCCTCCACGTAGGTGTATTTTATTTTATAGATGGAAATTGAACATTAAAGTGCTTCTTGCTGATTGGTGTCAGTGTTCCCCCAGCACAGGGTCACTGGGATAGTGGCTGTGCTGTAGGGTGGGTTTCTGCTGCTTCTGCAGAAGTAGATTGGAACTGTGACTGGAATCTCCATGAAAGACTAATAATAATACCTCTGAAGTGGATCCCAGTGCTGCTGCCTGTAGCTCTTCTCATGACAGAAAAGATTCTTAATTCTGACCTCAAAAGCCCGGGTTGAGCTTGTTTTGCTGCTCAGTCTCCCTCAGCTTCCGCTCCAAATTTAGTCCCCTGCGGATTTTGCTGTGCTCGTTGGCACCACGGGCTGGTTCACACTGACTGTGGGCAAAGGCTCCTGAGCCCACGAGCTCGTTTTGGTTTGGCTGCTTCTGCCCCTCTGTCCCTGGAGATTCCGGGCGCGCGGGCGCTCCCCGACCCCCGGCTCCTTAACGTGCCCGCTCTGTGTGTGCAGGGGGAATGGCTGCTGGAGGCAGCGGGAAGGGCCGGGGAGCCAAACGCAAGCAGCAGGACGGAGGGACCACGGGAACAGCCAAGAAAACCCGGAGGTGAGAGGAGGGCACGGGTACTGAGGTGTTGGGCACCGGGCGGGGACATCCGTGCTTGTGATGCCTTAAGCTGCCTCCCACCTGTCTCTGCCTCGGGTGGGTTCATGGGGAGTCACTCCAGAGCCCTGTGACGTTACTGATAACTCACAGGCCATAAATCATTTGCAGTGGGGGAGGGTGTGCTCGTTTGGCACAGACACCGCTGTGCAGCCCCTGAGCGCAGGGACAGCTCTGCAGGGGGGTGTCCTGGGGTGATCTGTGATGGCACCACAGCCACTGGGAGATGCCAGCCTGGAGTTTCTGTGTTTCAGTGACCCATTGTTCTCAGCTCAGCGCTTGCCCCCCCACGGGTACCCTCTGGAACACCCCTTCAACAAGGACGGGTACCGATACATCCTGGCCGAGCCTGACCCCCACGCGCCCGACCCGGAAAAGCTGGAGCTGGACTGCTGGGCAGGAAAACCGATTCCTGGGGACCTGTACAGAGCCTGCCTGTATGAACGAGTCCTCCTGGCACTGCACGACCGAGGTAGAGAGCTCGTTAATCTGTGCAGGCTGTGTTTCCTTACAGGGACGTCCCGGTGACCTCTCGTTACCGGTCAGTGACGTTTCAGGTGTCATTGCTCTCAGAGGTGCAGATGGCAGATCCACCTCTGCACGTTCATTTGCCTTCTGACACCTCCACACTTTGCAAATCCCAAATAACTGCTGGTGTCACCCCCTGCAGCTCCCCAGCTGAAGATCTCTGACGACAGGCTGACTGTTATTGGCGAGAAGGGCTATTCCATGGTGCGAGCCTCCCATGGCGTGCGGAAAGGAGCCTGGTACTTCGAGATCTCCATGGATGAGATGCCTCCAGACACAGCTGCCAGACTAGGCTGGTCACAGCCCTTGGGTAAATAGTGGTACCAAATACTTCTTAGGAGATGCTCCTGCTACACTCCACGTGTTCACAACGAAGTGTTTGTCTCCGCAGGGAACCTCCAGGCCCCTCTGGGATATGACAAGTTCAGTTACTCCTGGCGCAGCAAAAAGGGAACCAAGTTTCACCAGTCGATAGGGAAACATTATTCATCTGGCTACGGACAGGGAGACGTCCTGGGGTTTTACATCAGCCTTCCAGAGGACACTGAGACAGCCAAGTCCCTGCCTGACACCTACAAAGACAAGGTGAGGGGCAAGTTCACTGTTGGATTGAACATTGGCAGGTGGATAAGTGGCAAACAGGTTGCTCTGGCCTCACTCCTGCCCCTTTCCGTGGATCCTTCCCATCCTGCCTCTGGGTACCTCCGTGGTTCATAGGGGAGAGGTCCAAAATACTCCTGGATGGGATTGCCCACGTCTCCTTTCATCTTCCCCTCCTGGCTCTCAAATACTTGAGCTGTGGGAATCACTCCTCACAGGTACTCTGACACCAGGCACACCTGTCCCCAAGCAGGGCAGGTGATGGGCAACAGATTTTTGGACTTACTTCTGACATTGTTTGCTGCTATTTCAGGCTTTGATCAAATTCAAAAGCTACTTGTACTTTGAAGAGAAGGATTTTGTGGACAAGGCAGAGAAGAGCCTAAAGCAGGCACCTGGAAGCCAGGTGAGTTCTTGGGTGTCACTTCAACACATCTGGTAAAGGGGAACTGGGGGTAATCCTGAGGGAGTTGCTGTGTTATGACAGCCACCATCAGTGGGAAAACCCTTCATTTTTCAGATCATATTCTTCAAGAACGGTGTCAGCCAAGGAGTTGCCTTTAAGGACATCTTTGAAGGGGTTTATTTTCCTGCCATTTCTTTGTACAAAGGCTGCACGGTAAGTGAGGTGTCTTTGAAGGAGAATGCCTGAATCCCTCAGTTTCAGTAATGCACAGAGTGGGAGTGCTCTGGGAGCCTGCCAAGTGAGGAGGAAAGATGGGAATTATTTTAGTGAAGTGACTCTGGAACGAAACTGCTGAAGGAACACCCTCCTTCCATGCCAGGGGTGCTTGTTCCTGTGGGCTTGCACAGGCTGGGGGTAGGCTCAGAAGCAGGAGGGGGATGAGGACTGAGGACTAAAGAAATTTTCCTGGTTTTTTAGATCTAATGAAAATGTGTCTTCCCCAGGTTTCTATAAACTTTGGGCCGTATTTCAAGTATCCACCCAGAGACATCACTTACCGCCCTGTAAGTAAACCTGAACCTTTTTTACCCCCATCTGAGAGAACTAAGTGTTTAAACCAAAGGTGTTTAAAACAAAAGGTATTTTGGTGTGATTCATACCACACCACAGTGTGTGTAAAAATATTTAAGGACAGCTAACCCAATAAATAATTTAATTAAATTTCCGTTAAATAGTAGATGCTGTCTTGTTCCTCTTGACAGACTGTAAGGCCCTGCTGTTGCCTGTGCTGGCCTCTTTTATCAGTAAGAGGGTGGAATTGTTGTTTAAGGACACACTTGGAATTTTCTTTTTTGCCCCACCGATGTTTCCAGGAGGGGAACAGCCCTGGAATGCTGCTGCCACTCCTTCCCAGGCCTGTACTCCGTGGCTGGAGCTGACTGTGCTTCCCCCTGCAGATGAGTGACATGGGCTGGGGCGCCGTGGTGGAGCACACGCTGGCTGATGTCCTGTACCACGTGGAGACAGAGGTGGATGGGAGGAGGAGCCCCCCCTGGGAGCCATAGACCCCCCACACCGAGGATTTATCGCAGAGGAACATCCATCCCTCAGTGAGCAGCCACGACCCACCGGGCTGAGGTGTTGTGTATGTGTTACCTGCTGCAGGTTCACACCCTCCCCCTGCCAGAGTGTGAGTGGGGCAGGTCTGGGGTGTTTTGTGCTATTTTGGGGCATCTCTTGGAGCCTCCAGTACTGTTACAGTGTCACCCCCAGGAGAAGGGGGTGCTGAGGTACCTCCTCCTGGGCTGGGACTGTGGGGTGTTCCTGAGAACAGGGTGTAGCTGGACCTGCCAGGTGTAGGTACAGTGACACCTGTGCTCAGGTGTGTTTGGCTGATTGGGACCAACAGCTCCCAGCCAGGAGGGCTCTGTTGGAACGAGACAGCTGCATGTAAGACTGAAATTTGGGCTTCTGTCCAAACTGTATTTTTTCTTTTCCCCACAAACTGGAAACCAGTTTAAAAATAAAGGCTTTAACTCTCTTTTTATTCTGTTTTTGTCTTGTAAATTGTTACAAGTGAGATTTAAACTCAAAGTAGGTACATTTGGAGATCTCTCAAGCTGAAGATCTGCTCACAGGAGCTACACTGGGCCTGCTGCCAATGATCATCATTGCAGAGCTTTTGGATGAATAAATAATTTGACACTGTGTCTGTGTCTGTACAGGAAAAATAAATTAGAGCTGCTTTGTGGGGGGGGAGAGGGAATAAAATTGTTAGTTAAATGCTGTGTTTGAGTTTTAGGGGAGTAAAAGGTGAGGTTCAGTCAGGCCCGTGTTTGCCTCACTGAGGATGTATCTTCCCAGTCAGATGTCTGGGGCCTCCCAAATAACTAGTGAGCCCAGGCCTGGGACACCACTAATTAAAGCTTTATTTATTCAGTGACAGTAATTAGGGAGGGTAGAGGTGCCTGGCTGGGCCAGCACGTGCTCAGTGAAGCAAACGTAGGACTTAAAAATTTTTGGTCTTGCACTTCCACAATGAGTTCCAATAAATAAATCTTTATATTTATTGATTGAAACCACATATTAATTAGTGGTGTCTGCTGCTAAAGGCCTTGGCTGTTCAAAGTGACTCCCCATTTGCCCCTGAACAAAGCCCTGCCCCGGGTGGTGGGCGGGTCGTGGTCAGCAGGTCACAGGCCGGGCCAGGCGCTGCCGGAGGTGTTTGGCGAAGTCCACCTGTGTCTGGGACAGGACCTGGTTGATGATGGTCTTGGGCAGCCAGCCCTGGAGAGGAGCAGACACAGCCTGTGAGCGGGACCTGCCTCCCCCACAGCCCCTGTTCTCCACCCTGTGCCCTTCCCCGTACCTTGAGGTCGATGCTGAGCAGCCAGGTCAGCCTGGTGCGGGAGGGGCTGCCGGGCAGCGGGCGCAGGACCATGCAGGTGGGACCGTTCTCAGCCCTGGCAGGGGGGAGGGACAGGGTCAGACCCAAACCCCAGACTTCGAGCCTCAAAAATACACTTAGTGACTGGGGGTTTCCTCAGCAGCTCCTGCTGCCCAGACAAACCCAGTGACTGAGCCCCTGCTAAACCCTTCCTGCCCCGTGGGAATCTCCCTCCTTGCACACCCCATGAGGGGACTGAACAGAGGGTTACCTGACGAACCCCTCCTGCTCCGGCATCGCTCCGTACGTCGTGGACATGCCGGCCAGGACACAGGTGGAGCCGCGTCTCTTGGAGCACCGGACGCTCACGAAGTCCCGGGGCCCAACAATGTTCCCGGGGGTCGGGGCTGCCTTCTCGTGGGTGATCACCGTGTCCTTCCCGATCTTCTTCAGGATCTGCAGTTTGGAACTGAAACCTCAGTTTGAAGTGTTTAAGTGCCAGCGTAGCTAAAAAGCTGCCTTTGGTTACCGGGTGCTCAAACACAGGGTCTGACAAAAACTTGGTGTTTACAGGGAGAAAAATTGCAAACATCTGCTCCACCCCAGCTGCAGAACGTGAGTTTTCAGTTCCTGAAAGGAAAGGTGTTTCTCTTACTGCTTCTCTGATTCCAGAGGAGCTGTGGGATAGCCAAACTCTTCCTTGTGCCTTGGGGCTGCTTCTCCTCCGGATCAGCCCAGAGTTACAGCAGAACTGGCTGCTCCTTGCAGGAAAGAGCATTTCCTGCAGAATTAGTCACAGAGAAGCTGCTCCAGACTCACCTTTGCTGCAGCAACAATACAGTTACTGCATAAAAACCCTCCACATCTGCAGCAGGCAAAGGACAAGATACAGTCGCAAAGAACAGCAGAGAATTCCCTGTGCTCCTGCTGTGATGGGCCCTTCCAACGCCACATGGAGCAGGACCCGTGTGAACCCCGGCTGTGACACACGTTTCCTACCTTGACTTCTTTGACGTTGGGGTTCCAGTCTCCCATCTGCTCCATGTTGTCCACCAGCTCTCCGTACACTGAGTCCAGGGGCTGGTCCACCACCACCTCCAGCCGGAACACCTTCCCCACGTCCGGCAGCACCTTGCTCAGCACTTTGTCTCCGTTTCCCTGGAGGGGGGACAGCAGGATTTACACCACAGCTGTTGGCAGGAGGAGTGTCAGTGCCACACGGCAGAGCACCCACCGCCACCGTCTCCGTCTTCCAGCCGTCCTGGTCCTCCAGGATTCTGAGGGATTTCTGCAGGGCTTCCTCTCCTTGTTTGATGTAAGACATTTCCATCTCACTGAAGGGCTTCTCCTCCAGCCTCGAGCCTGCCGGGACCAGACAAAGGCAGGAGTGAGTGCAAGAACAGTGTAACGTGCCAGATAAGCTTTATCTACACCAAATACCCTTTCCATGCCCAGGGACCGGGGAATTAAACCCAATTCCCACTCTGCTGCTGGTTCAGCAGAAGCACAGCCCTCCCACAAGCAGGTTTTCCCCCAGCCACTCCCTGGATCCCCAATCCCTGACAGCCTCCCCCCGGCAGGAAGGGACAGACCCCCCTGAGGTGTCACTTACTGAGCAAGGAGCTCCTCCTGCGCACCTGGTGGATCCAGGAGCTGGGTCCTGGGCTGCGGCAGGCGAGCCTGCTCAGCTCCTGGCTGATGGCCACGGCAGCTTGTCTCCTCAGACCTGAGGGGGAGAGTGCATCAGGGGCCTTTCCAGGGGCTTTTTCCCCCAGTCTGATCATACAACATGGAAAAGCCTCTGCTTGTCACCTTTACTGAGTCCCTACAGGCACAGGGAGCAGCCGTCACGCTGCCCTGGGACAGCCTGTCCTAAGCAACCCCAGGCTTGGCTCCAGGTCCAAGCCACACAGCAGTAAAAATACTGAGGAACATCGGGTGAGCATAGAAAGAGCATAGAAATGGAGCACAAGGATAGAAAATCCTCACTGCCAGTGGGAGTGTGACCCAGAGCTGGCCCCAGAGGCACGGGTACCAGAGATGGCAAAAAGGGCGGCAGGGACAGTAAATCACAAAACCCAGAAAGCAACACGGCATAGGGTGGGGTAAGGAGAGCACCCCTGAGCTCGTCCTCCTGCCCGAGAAGGAGTTCAGAAAGCAAAGGGGGGGGTGTCCTTTCTGCACCCGCGACTCAGAGGGAACTTCTCCCACGAGCTCCAGTCTGACAGCGGGGACAGGACCCCACTGCCCCTCCCGCCCCAGGCAGCCCCTCACCGGTCATGTTGCGCAGGTGCCGGTAGGAGATGGCGGCGCAGAGCTTGGACGTGGCTGGGAGCATCTCCTGGGCTGTGGTGGTGGCTGTG